CCCTGAACAGTCCCAGCATTGCCAATATGCCTCTTCAGCAGGTTTGTGGATGCCAGCAGTAAACTTCGAAAATCCCATGTAAGATTTTATTTTCCAATAATACAATCCAGCTGAAGGGAATGTTTCACTTCATATTAATTTCTACTCTGCTGCCCTGAGCAAAGCAGCCTGGACAAGTTCCTTATGGTTGCCACCTTTCGGTTTCCTTGATGTCAGACTCATTGCAAAAAGGATTATCTTCCTTCCTTTTACAGGCGTTTTTAAATTCCAAAGAGCTAAGACGTTCCATAAGCGTATTAATGGTAAGTGTGTCTAGTTACCTTCATACATTTACCAACCCAAAAAATAACTTCTTTTGTGAAACAGCCTTTGCTAGATTAAAGAATTTTAACTGTAGAACTCCATTGCATTGTCCTCCTCTACTACCTGTTCACATTATTGAATTAAAAAACCCCCCAACAACCCATGTTTCAAGATTTAAACAAGGTTTACCCACCACAAAGCAAGATGAAATCTACAGAAGGTGTAGGGTTGGGGGAAACTTAGTCTGTACCTATCTGCAACCTTCTCCTAAAGTGTCTAATGCTGGACATTCTTGGAGACAAGAAGCTAGAAACAAATAGGCTGTGGGTCTGATGTGATGCAGCAATTCTGTTCTTCCTAGCTACTAATATTCCAAGACCAATGATCTACCATATTTACCTGCAAACCACACACACCTCTCCTCCAAAAATTGGGGTGCATGTTTTAAGTAAGTAACCTGATTTCAATGCTGGGATGGAGGTGTAGGGATGCTATAATGGCTGCCAGGGGCTGGCTTCCTCCCATCTGCAGAGAGGAGAGATACAGTCTGCTGCTCAGTCAAAAGCTAAAGGTTTAACCATGTCATAGCCACCACCAAATTGGCAGTAGCTTTTGGCTGAGTGGCCAAAAGCTGAGCAGCCAATTTAGCAGCAGCTGTGACAGAGTTAAAGTCCCCTAACTTGGCTGAGCAGGAGAGGCAGGGTGAGTGACACTGGGTGCATCTACACAAGATGTTTACTGTGCAGTAGATTAGTTAGCTGCACAGTAAACATCTTGATGTCTACACATGCACCCCTATTAGGCTAGAGTACACTAATTTACTCCACAGCAGGATACTACTTGCATTTAAGTACATCCTGCTGAGGAATAGAAGTCTGCAGCAGTGCAAATGTAGACTTGCCCTGGCAGGCCAGGCATGAAGGTACATCAGTGCAGGGGCTGCCTGCCAGCTAGCCCCACATTGGAGCGCTCTTGTGCCCCAGCCAGCCCCTCTGCAATCCCCAGGCTGGCAGGTTGACCCCCAGGGCCTCCTGCCAGCCAGAGCTGCTCCGACCTTGCTCCATGTGTTGTGCATGAATGAACTCCAGAGAGTGTATTGCTCAAGTTAATTGCTCCCGGGCACATGTTCAAGCGGTGTACCCAGGAGCAAGAATCCTGAAGCAATAAGCTCCAGAGTTTATTCATGTGCTGTGTAGCCCATGTAGACATGCCCACTGAAGAGTAGACTATCTCTGCTCCATTCAGCTATGACTCTGGAAAAATCTATTTTTCCTTCATTCTGCCTTCTCAAAACAAGGTGTACATCTTATTTGTGGATGTAAGGTATGTGAATCCCATATGGTATTCATATATTTTTAAGGTACGCTGTTGTTTTGGTCTCTAAACCCCTATCGATACTTTTTAGTGAGATGGGCACAGGGCTGCATCCTATTATGTGACAGTGTTGCACTGCAAAGTTACCATGGCAGGCAATGGCGCACTGAAAGCATGCTGTGCTTTTTATACTCCACTTAAGAATCAAAGGAGCATTGCAGAGTTGCCTGGCAGTGCCTTACTTGCCTACAGTGCCTAATTAGCCTGCCTATAGTGTCTCAGCAACTCGCCAGCGAGGGGTTCTCCAGCTACATAGCTTCTAGTTCAGAAGGTAGCCTGACCGAAGAAGTGTGCAGGGTTCAAATTATGGGGCAGCTTGGGGGGCTGAGCCCCTCCCCCCATAAGAGACGAGAGCCCCCCTGTAAGATTTGAAAATCATAACCTGGGAGGGGGGTCTCTGATTTTATTAGGGCATTGTGATGGGCAGCCCAATTTTTTTTTTGTAGATCTCCTTCCCCACCCCTCCCCCAAGAGTCAAAGTGTAATTCGAACCCTGGATGTACGCATGCAGCTGCCTGGTCTGATAAGAGGACCTTGAACAGGACAAACTGCAGGTGTGATCTAGCTAGTGCAATGAAGATGCAGCAGCATGGGGCATACCCAGGGTCCCCAGAGATGTTGTTCTCAGAATCCCAGTACACAGAATCATAGGAAGGGACTGAGAGGCCATCTAGTCTGTTCCTTACCCCCAAACAGTATCAACTATCTCATCCTTTCATGACATGCTTGTCTAACCTGATTTTTTAAGCTTCCAGAGATCCCACAACTTACTTACATAATTCATTCCTGTGCTTAACTGTGCTTACAGTTGGAAAGAGGTTTTCCCCCCACCCTAATGTCTAACTTTTAAATCTCTCTTGCTGCAACCTAACCTTATTACTTGTCCTATCCCCAGTGGACATGGAGAACAAGGTATAACCTTCCTCTTTGCAACAGCCTCTCACTTAATTGAAGATTATGGCTGCTCATCCATCTCTTCTAGACTAAACTAATCCAATTCTTTTTATCTTTCATCGGAGGTCATGTTTTCTAGACCACTTTTGTGGCTCTCTGGATTCTTCCCAATTAGCCCACACCTTTTTTAAAGTGTGATGCCCAAAACTAGACACAATGTTCCAATGGAGACCTTAGCAATACTAAGTGGAGTGAAAGGATTATTTCATGCCTTCCCTCTGATATTCCCATTTATACATCCCACTGTTGACTTATATTCAGTTTGTGATCTACTCTAGCCTCTAGATCAGGGGTGGGCAAAATGTGACCCAGGGGCTGGATGTGGGCTGCCAGGCCATTCTATCCGGCCTGCAGGGCCCCTAAAAAATTTAGAAAATTAATATTAATCTGCCCTGGATTGCCTGCCACGTGGCCCTCAATGACTTGCCAAAATTCAGTAAGTGGCCCTCTGCCCAAAATAATTGCCCACCCCTGCTCTAGATCCTCTTTCTGAGAACTTACAAGCAAGTTTCCTCTTTTATCTTTGTGTGGCTGATGATTACTTTAGTTCAGTACTTTTAAATTTGAATTTCTTCCTATTTATTTCAAACTGTTTCTCCAATTTGTCAAGATCCTTTTGAATTCTAATCCTGTCCTGCAAATGGAAAAATTGTACTTTTTATTGTCATTTATATAATTAATGAAAATATTGAATAGCACTGGATTCAGAACCCCTCACTTGATATATTTTTCCAGTTTGAAAGTAAGCTATTTAGAACTACTGAGAGTAGTTTGTCAACCAATTTTGTAGCTACCTCTCAGTAATTTCCCCTAGAGCGGTGGTCTCCAACCTTTTTAAGTAGGCGATCACCTTTGGCATTTAAAAGCAACCCAAGGTCTACTGTGCACCACAGCCACCACCCCCCCCCCCCTCCATCCTGCCCAGCAAGTAAATCTGTGGAGAGAGAAGGGGGGGCAAATCAAAGCAGAAGGAGAAAAAATTACTTGGGGGTGCGTCTCCCCAGCAGGTAAGTCCTACCTGGCCATGGCCCCATTCAACTTACCCCTGCTCCTGCCTCTGTGGCACTGTCCCTCACTGCAGGGGCCTTGATCTGGGCCCACCCCTTCTGTACCCCACGGACTGACCTGCTGGGCTGGGACACGCACATGCATACGGGCACTCGGCCCCCCACCCCAGCCTCCGATCGATTCCAAGAGGCTCCGAGATCTACTGGTGGATCGAGATCCACTGCTTGGTGATCACTGCCCTAGACCACAGTTCCCTAATGGCTTAAAAAGCTGTTATTTAGGACTGTGCTAAAATGCATTGCTGAAGTCCAGATCTATCACATCTAGTTTATTTCTCTAGTCACTAAGTCTGCTATTGTGTCGTGGGGAAATCAAATCTATACTGGCTATTCTAGGTGCTTACACACAGGTGGAGTATTCATTCCCCTGTTTCTGGCTGCTTTGCAATTCCCTGGATTTTCCTGTTTAAGGATAGCAACCGTGAGCCCCTCTGCAGTTTCCTGCAGCCCCGCCCCCGAGCTGTCCAGAGTGGGGGAGAGCAGTGGGGGGCACCGCTCCGGCCGGCTGCAGCAAGCCGAGTCCTGCCCCCTCCCCGGCGCCTCGCCTGCCCAGGGCCGTAACAACCACGTTTGGTGTCCGCAGCGGCAGGCCGCCCTCGCCCGCACAGGGCCGGGGCCACGCGCCCAAACGCTTGCCCGGGAGCCGCCCTTGCCCCGTCTGCGCGCCCCGCAACCGGCTGCTCGCGGCTCCGCCCTGCGCCGGCAGGGCAGCGCCTCT